TGCGGTGTCGACGAACGTGGCTGAGTGTAGCGAGCGAGGGATGGAGAACGAAGGATGAACCCACGATGACAGCAGCAGCGACAGGAGAAAGAGGCGCCTGCTCGTGTCCTCATCGGCGACTGGAGTAACGACGGCTCTAGATAGCAGCATAAACATCAGTGGTGGCTCGGAGCTTCACCAGATCGGAGAACGAGAGAGTCGGGTGGTAACAGCGCCGGAGATGAAGAAGGTGGGTGGCGGCCTATGGTGGGAGTCATAAGGTGGCGGTTGTACTTCCTCCTATGGTTAGGGTTTCGAGAGGGTTATATACCCGGTTCTACCAAACTTCATTCCATAACAACACTTTAATTGAAGCCCTTATGTTACCAAGTGATACCAAGCACCCCTTACTTCTAAAATCCTTTTCAAAATAAATCCTAAAATTACACTTTAACCCCCGGAGATTCAAATCTTGTCATTTGGCTCCCCGAAACCAGCACCCCGCTAATTTTTATTTGATTTTGGGCTATAATGATATAAAATAATAATAATAATAATAATAATAATAATAATAATTACCTCTCGAGCTTCCGGGTTATTGTTTAATTATGCTATTTTAAACGGAATGTTACATCAGATCTCGAGTCTGATAAATGACTTAGAGTCATGAATATGAGATGTAATCCATGTATGAGAATCAAGTATGGACTTGATTAAAATTTATCCCTATAGAAAGGCTAGAAGGAATAAATAATTCTTCTAGAAAGAATAAATTACATGGATATCCATACACATTTAAAGCAAGAATTGTTGTAAAAGGATTTTCTTATACTCACGACATTGACTATGGTCATCATCATACTCATGACATTGACTGTGATCAAACCTTTTTCACAAGTTGTTATTATTAGACCAATAAGGATATTGTTTATTATAAATTCATCTTCTTAATATGAAATATATTAAATACATTTTAAGAAAGACCACTTTTCTTAATAGATATTTGTTAGAAGATATCTATATAGCTTAGCCTGGAAGTTTTCGTAATCCATGCTATCATAAACAAAATGTGTAGAGCTTGAGATCCACTTGTGGATATAAAGCAAACATCTAAATGTTGCAATCATCATTTTAATGTAAAACCACAATGTATGTTTTTATATCAAAATGAATAGAACGTGTGTGTTTACTAAGAACTAATGGGAGCATATTGAAATTTCTAATCTTGTATGAATAAGACATATTTAATCATTTGAAATCACATTCTAACTAAGCAAGGTCATTTTTACCTTGACTCGGAAAGTTTTCTAAAATTAAATACTTAGGAAGAAGAAGATACATTCTTGGAATGTAAGATCTATAAGGGATTGGGATATAGTTCTAAAGGTCCATGGTCGGTTATATTTATGGGAGCAGTTATAGAGTAAGAATAATATCAACTGGATTGGTTAACTCTCACTATATGAAAGTAGACAAGTGGTTGTAACCAAGTTTCATAGGTACTTGTTAGAGAATTAGTATTGAACTGGCCTGCATCAAGATCATCTCACGGATCGCCATCATGAATGATACTTGATTAAAAAGTAATATATTTGTATCCTTAACACCTGAGACACATAGTGCGATTTAAGGGTAGGGAGTATTATGCTTTGATATGGTCAAATGATGTTCCTTAACCGGGCAGTTATAAAAGCCATTTTCAGGTATAGTGTGAACTATGCAAGAGGCTTGTCTAGTTAAGATGGGATTTGTTCCTCTTATGTGTTGAGAGTTAGACATTTAAGGCGGCTTACCAAAAGTTGAACAACTAATGAGATTGATCCCGATCCATATCTCATGTTCAACATGATATTTGTAGCAAAGGGATAACTGATAATCTTACCTTATACACCAATTGTAGCTTTGAGCTTTTAGGGAATTGGGCATTGATAGAATGGCCCAAATTCGTATGTTTTTAGGAGCAGTGAAATGTTGCTAGACGTTTACCATTGTATATATCAATCTAATATGAATCTTGCACAAGTGGGAGATTGAAAGGTCTAGTATGCTCAAAAATCATATTAAAGTAATATTGCTAATTAACATATGATACTAATGGGTCACACTAACAACTTGATAAAATTGATTATTTATTAGAAATTGATTTTAATAAATATTCAATAAAACTCTTATAATTAAATTCGAAATTATTTATTTCATAGAAATAATAATTTTTTATTAGCAAGTAATATAACATATATTATTTCATAATGTATGAATTAATAAGTCATGTACACCATTTTGGACTAGTTAAGCTTTTTGTCTTTTAGCAAAAGAAAAAGTTTATATCTTATAAACTTTGATTTTATAAAATATAAACTTATTCTTCTCTTTCTCTCAATCATGGCCGAAAATGAGTTAGTGATAAAGAGGAATCGCTTTCCAATTTTTTTAATCAAAATAAATGAAGCATGGTGCATGCATGGGAGACAAGTAGGTTTTAGGGACATACTTATCTAAAGTGGAAGGACCTAATGGTTAAAGACTTCACTTTAAGACAATATAAATTTGAGGCTTCCATTCTTGTATTGGTTGCTTGTTTTTGCTTCCTAAAACTGTAACCTCCTTAGAGGAGGTTACTCTCTCATCTTTTATTCTTGCTTTGAAGATTACTTGCTCATACATGCCCTCTTTAAGTTCATATTGGTTATGAACTTAAAGCTTAATGGTTTAAGAGTTTATGGACTAGCATCTACATCAAGTTGAGTCATTGTTGGTGTCTCAAAGGTTTCAAGTTCTTCATCAACTTCCAACCCTCCCAAGAGGATCCAAAGAACAACAAAGGTTGTTATTTCTTCATCCTTTCTATGGATGGTATTTTATTTCTTCATCCTTTCTATGGTTGGTATTTTATCTTTCTATAACACGCAAGGAGATCCTTGGTGGGTATAAAATGTTATGTTATGTTCAAAATTTTAAGTCTTCCATTGCTATATTTTTCTAACTTATGAAACTATTTTTGAACTAAAACCCAACAAGTTTTCTCATTATACTATACAGTGTAATGTATATATATATATATATATATATATATATATATATATATATATATATATATATATATATATATATGTATGTATATATCCATGTATAGAGTTGATAGTATAGTTTCCATGTGCGTGTACTAGTAGATCTGAAGTATAGCTACTATGTGATTCAATGTATTATACGTGAATTATTCGTTACGGCTAAAGAAAGGGTTGATGGCAGAACGACGATAGGTTAGGAGCCAATAGACCCAAGCGTTAACTATAAAATGGAAAGTAGGTTGTAAGTATGAATACACATTATTGGTGGATCGATGAAAGGTCGTAAGTCAATCAGTGGATCAACAAAAGGTCATGAAGCTTTGTTTGTACACATACACACACACACACACACGCATATATATATATATATATATATATATATATATATATATATATATATATATATATATATATTTATATATATTGGTATATGTGGGGAACTCTCTAAGCTTTGTGTTTACCTAGTTGAATATAAATGTTTTTTTGTACTTCATTGATTCTTGAGAAGGGCACGGTTCGCTTGTACACACACGCATTCGCAACATGTTACCACATAATATAATTATACTCTAATATGTTGCATAAAAAATGAAAAATTGGGTTGAAAATTAGGACGTTACAGTATGAGGGCTTGTTATCCATGTTTGTTCATTCCGGTTCCTGGTCCTCTTAGGGGGGGGGGGGGGGGGGGATTTCTATTGGTCGTTGATGTTAGTGTTCTGTTCAGTTTTAGTCTTAAACTAGCAATTTCATTTGTTTAAAGTTATCGGGCCAAAGTGTATTAAAATGAACCTTGATCATGTATATGAGTCTAGGAGTCATTTTATGATACTTTGAGGGCCAATTATGGAGATTATGGAGTATTTAAGCGAGGCTAACCCTAAAATCCAGGAATCAAATCCTATTTTCAGCATCCATCTTTCTTTGAGAGTTCCTAAGTGGTTAAGTATGCATGTCATTTGTTGTGTGTATGAGTGAATCAGATATACATACTACACCCTCAATGCACCCTCGACTGCCTGTTTTTTACCAGATTCCGACTCTTCAGCATCTCTCGTTGCTTGCTTATGCTTCCAATTGTTATCAAAAGGCTTAGGTTTGTCGATTTAAAGTACGAGATTTTTTTTTTACCCTTTTTCTTCCTTTGCATTGCTGATGATCTGTGATTTGCCTTCTTTTTTTTCCCAATTTGTATTATTTTAGGATAAATTATGCATGTCGGTTGTCTTAACTAGCAGTCTAGCATGGAATCTTAACTAAATTTTCATTTTTATTACTATATTATAACAAAATATGCTAAATTGGTACTAAACTAGGAACTAAATTCACATTTGTAATCACAGTTTTTATATATATGGGTAAGATGTAGGTTTTAGTGTCTTATTCCATTGCACAAGTAGATTGCTTGATCAATTTGGTAAACATAGATTGCTTGATCAATTTGATAAACATAGGATTTCAACACCCCTCTATGCAAACAATTTAATAAACATAGGATTTTCAACACCCCTCTATGCAAATGCAAACAGGTAACTCTATCAATCAAGTTTGAATAAAAAATGTCGAACACTTTGACTTTTTAAGCCAACTAAAATCATCATAAATTCTTTAAATTGTCACACTACCAATCAGTAACTTTTTTATGCTAGACATGCTAAGCTTATGTGGTATCAAAAAAACTAAAAAATAATATATGACAACATGTTAAGAATGTTACAACTCCTTACTGCCTAAGAGTGCTACCACTCGCTACAGCCTTAACGACGACCAACTTACTAGTTGTCCTTTCTATTCAAATTCGCCAATAGCCAAAACCATCATTTTGTATTTTTGCAGAGCAAATAATATTTCTAAAAGATCTTACAGGTTCGAATATTGTTTGAAATGGTTGTGAAAAACAATGACCAAACGGATATAAATGATATATCATAGCTCATGGTATGCCAGTTTTGACTGAAAATCAATTGATAATGCTAAATAATTCAGTAGTTAAATTTAGAAAAAGAAAACAAAAAAGAGTTAACAATATAAAAAATCTGGTTGCTGCCAAACTACGAACTATAAACACACACTTTTATTTATTGAAGCAGGATTACTGTTAGTATTTAATAAGGGATACATAAAATTTTAGCTGTGATAACTAAAATATATCATGAGATTAATTCAGAGCTTGGAAAATGAAGGTTTCCTGTTTTGTAGGCTTGCTGCTGCTACCTCCTTTAGATCATCGGATAAAAGCATAGAAGAATTCCAAGTAGCAACAAAATCCAAGCCTTGGCTCAACGACATGTCTCTACTTCGTACCAACACTGCCTTGGTCCCAATCACAGCAAGTGGAGATTTTGCAGCAATTCCTGCCAATTATCACAACACAGATTTCAATCGACTAATTAGTTATTTCAGAACACTAATGTCATTTCATCCTCAAATGATATCAACCATCTTGTAAAGATAACGACAACAAAATGTGATAATTAAATGAATTTGAACACACCATCTGCTATTGCTCCAACACCTTCATCCATATCCGGTTTGGAACCAAAAACCTTGGAAACAAGTCCTAACACCTTCGCTTCTGAACCGGAAAATTTCCGAGCGGTCAAAGCCAACTCCATCGCATTACCATACCCTACAATCGCTGGTAACCTCTGAAGCGACCCGAGATCTGCAGTGATTGCCAAATCCACCTCCTTCACCGAAAAGAACGCGTCCTCCGTGCAAAACCTCATATCACAGGCACTGATTATATCAACTCCTCCACCAATACAAACACCTTGAACAGCGGCGATCACCGGCTTCCGGCACTTCTCGATCGCCGTGATGGCTTTTTGCATAAACTTTATTTCTCTGCGGGATTTTTCGCCGGAACGTCCACGATCTGAAGGACTCTGGAAATCTGCGCTAATCGAGGCTAGTGTTTTTAGATCAATCCCTGAGCAGAAGTGCTTGCCTTTCCCGGATAACACGATAACGGCAACATTAGGGTTGTGGTCCAGAGACGAGAGAGCATTTGGGAATTCTGTGAAGAATTCGCGTGAGAGTGCGTTACTATGGCGTGGCCTGTTAAGGTAGAGTGTGAAGACGGAGGATTTTGGGTTTTCCTGAACGATTTCAATGGTCGTGTATTTCTCCATTTCCGGCCGCCAGCATCTACAACTCACCACAATTTGTCAATTCAAAAACAATTTGAGATAAAATTGCGGTGAGATATAGGTTCATCTAACCAATCTATCTATTTATTTATTTAGCTAATATTTATTTATTAAATATCTGAAATAAAAATTAATTAAATAAAATTAAAAATAGAGAAATTGAATCATCTAACACATAAATTATCTTTTAAAAAAATAACCAACTTTTATAAATTTTTAAAAAATGACAAGATTGTTTGGAACAAGAAATTTCAGACGTAGGGATGAACATCCGACCCGTGAGACCGGACTTGACCGGAAAAAAACTAGAACCGAACCCAGACGGAACCTGATTATCATATTAGTGGGCTGGTTTTCGGGTATTGTTTTTATCAATAATTGGGTTTCGGGTTTGGATCAGGCCTTACCCGAATTAAAGGATTTAACTCCGATCGGACCAGAAAATCAAAAATTATTATTATTATTTTTATCGACAAACAGTAAGCAAGAATTACTAAAATAAAAAAATTGGTATTCGATTGAATTGATTCGGTTCGGTGTTGGGGCTCAACCTCTTTTTGTTTGATCCATGTGGATCACATTATAGTATCAATTTTTTTTGTTTCGACCTCTACTCTTTATCGCATTATGATATCGATTTTTTTTTTTTTAAGAACCAAAGTTATTTCCTAGTACAATTTATTTATAAATAAAAATAGTGCAGTTTTTTAAAACAAAAAATAATGCAGTATTTTTTTAATACAAATAATGTTGTTAAGTGCATTTTTTTTATAAAAATAGTACAGTTTTGTACTATAAACAACAGTGCGGTTTTTTTAATATAAAATTAGTAATGTTAAGTGCATATTTTTTTATATAAAAATAATGCATTTTTTTTAGAAAAATAGTGTAGTTTTTTAATAACATTTATATTTGTTTGCATGCATCTCATTTGCACGTGTTCTAATTAGTGTCTTGCAGCATACCGTGTGTTCATATTCTTTTATGGATGTTAAGATTATAATTTGAAATAGTATACTAGACAGTAACATGACAAATAAAACCTGAAACCGTAAACAACAAATATATGAAACACAGTTTGGTACCAAGAACATGACTGGGCCGAAACCGTAAACAACACTACAAAAGTCTAAATCGGTCCAAAACCCAAAACCCGGTTTAGTACCTGGAACCGGAGCGGACTGAACTCGGATCCACTACAATAAAAAAATGGTATGGTTTTCGGGTAAGGTAATTCACGATTTTCGGTCTTCGGGCCGATTCGGTCCGGTCTGGGTTTGGCCCGTTGCTCATCCTTATTCCGGAGCAACATCCAGAAAGTCGGAGAAGCGTCCCGAAATAATAATTTTCTTTTGTTCTTGTTTTGTTTATTGCAAAAAATAACAGTACTTGAAATCTTTAAATCTAACAAAAGCTATATTTATATAAAGTTAAATATGTTTAACGAAAGTATCTATTAATTTAATTATCATCCCAATAAGTGAGATGGAAAACGGCAACAAGCTACGTTGCTAAGCTTTTTTGTATGGTAAAGCTAATTCTTTTGAATATTACATCTATAGATCTAGGGGATATAACATTGTTATGCATGATTGTTGGAAATATTTTGATGTGATTGTCACTTGAAATAAGTTGAGTATTGATTTACATTTTCTAACAAACATTATCAAAATGTTCCAGATTGGAAAGATCATAAAGATTCAACAAGTGTTTGGAGAATCAGATTTTGGAGCACTTGATGTTTACATGGAGCACTTGTTGTACACATGGAGCACTTGTTGTTGACATGGAGCACTTTTTGAACATTAAGCACTTGAAGAAAGCAATTTGGATCATCATGATCTCAGATAGCACATCTAGATCATATATGGAGCATCAAGACGTTGATGAATTAACGTGAATACTTGGTGGCTCATCTCAAGTCAATGGATCAACATGATCACATTGATGGCTCAACAAGACTGCACATGGCGCATCATGTACAATGAAGGCATGTTCAAAAGCTCAAAGGCACATGAATTTCATCCATGATCCATCTTGAACAAGCAGTTGTACATCTTCAAGTCCAAGACACATTCCAACATCGAAGAAACAACTCAACTTGATCAACGACACTTTTGGAAGTTGATAACATCTATGAAGACAATTGAGCAACATGTTGCTCATCACATTTTCAATGTTGATCAAGAAGGCTCAAGAATTATGAAGACTCGTAAATTGGATGGAACCCTAACGAAATACTAATAGAAATGGAATATTCCATCCATTCTCCGTTAAGTAGGGCAAAGGTGTCAACTGATGACTAAGTCATAATGATGTGTCAACACATGATTGGTCAAACCATGTCATTGGCTTTCCAAAGCCTATAAACAGGCCCCTTGGGATCCATTATAAATTTCCTCTTCCTTGCTCATTTCTGCTCATTTTGCACAATTACTGTTTAGACTAGTCTTAAGTGAGCCACTTAAGAGTTTTAGTGTGTTTACTATTCAAACACTTGTAAAAAAGTGTTTTTATATTAATTTTATTGATTCAAAACTATTTATTTTCCGCATTACTTGCCACTTGACGATTCTGAAACTCTATTTCGGTATTTTCAACACTTGGACTTTTTCTAGTCTAGGTTTACTGATTTTTCTCATTTCTTCAGTTGGTATCAGAGCAACTGATTTTCTTATCTTTTCAGTTGGTATTAAAGCTCGAGAAATTTTCACAGAAGTAATTTTTTTAAGTTTCAAACTAGTATCACATGTTCTCAATGGCAAGTGTGAATCAAAAACAAAATGTTCTCTATTCAGTTTCAGTTGCAAACAGTCTTGGAGCAGGACATCATGCATATATCCTTGTACCTAGTGAATACACTTCATGAGCAGATTGCATCAAGTACTACCTGGAAGGTCACGACTCTGACATCTGGACCCTCATATCCACTAGGAAACATACTCCAGAATTTCTGAAGGACATCAGAGTTTCTGAAGCCGATGTATCTACTGAAACCTCTAAAGTTATCTTTGGATTTGTTTCCTCTGTTGGTCAACTTCGTGAGAGGAAAATCAAGAAGTTTGAGGCTAAAGCAATGCAAGAGCTCTTATCTAGAATTCCTCATGACATCTATGAGCAACTTCCTGATGAAGATAAGAGTTCACCCTTCAACGTCTGGAATGCACTCAAGAAACAATTCGAGGGAACTAACAAGATCCTTCCAAACAGGAAGAAAGTTTCATTGACATACATGGACAACTTCAAGATGTTACCTCATGAAACTCTCTTTGATTCATATTCTAGGTGCAACATTATTGTCAACAGGGTGAAGAAGCCCAAAAAAGAAAGATCGCAAGAGGATTTCAAACTGAAATTCTTGAACAGTCTATCTCCAAAAATGGGATACAGTGCACATGATCATGTTGTAAACTACAACCAATCTAGACACCATGTCTTTGTTTGATTTGAATGTTAAACTAGAACAACATGATCCAAAATTCAACAAGCTAGCTCAAGCAACTCCCTTTGACAATCAAGGACTTGCCCTGGGAATTCAGCACCCATGGAAAATCATTCTCAAAACTTGATTGCACATCACAATCCAATCCCAAACCACTATGCTAATCAATTTTCCAACCAAGGATATGGAGCATATCCTTATCAAAGTTCGAGTATGGCTCAATCGTACAACCAGAATCCTTACATGCCAACTCAACAACCTCTTCAGATAGAAAACGGGTAAATGGAAAATCATCAAGCTTTCATTGGAACCACAATGGAATCTCCTCAAATCAATGTGGAAAAGGAGTATGAAGAATGCTTGGCACTCCTAACCAATTTCAATCCAAACTGAAGTATATGAGCAAGCCAACTGGGAACTTTAGAGTACAAAGTTATCAAAAACCCCAACACTATCATCAGAACTATGGAAACTTCCAAGGAGGAAGCAACCTTCAACGAAGCTTCAACTCTTAAAATTCAAATTCTGAAAGTTATAATTCTTAGAGGACGAACACAAGGGTCCAAGATAACAATTCAAAGTCTTATGAAGATAATGAAGTAATCAGGTGCTACAACAGTCAGGGTGAAAATCATTTTGCCAAGGATTGCAAAATGAAGACCAAGAAGATCAAAGATTAAGAATACTACCTTCAAAAGGCAAAGCGGATCAAGAATCAATCAAAATACAAAGCTTTCATGGTCATGGAAACTCCAAATGTGGAAGTCTGGGAAACAGATGATGAAGTGGGTCAAGCAGAAGGAACAAAATCCTACAAGAACTACTTCTGCTTCATGGCTGATGCTAACAAAGAGCCTTCTCACTCCATCAACAAGTTTTCGAGAAGGTACATTTTATGCTTCATGATAATCATTTAACTATTGAGCCTTTTTATTCATGATATTAACCATATTTCTGAAATAATCAAAGAATATGTCACTAACTCTGAATATCATGACAGTTACTACAAAGATGAACTGACCGACACTCAGTGCGGACTTGAAGAATTAAGTTGTAATATGGCTAAGTTAGATAATGAACTTGCAATCAAAATTGAGGCACATCTTACGTCAGATGAACAATATGAAATTTTGTTGAACCAACGAGACATTATTGCAAAGGAATATCATGAGATGTACGCCCAAATCAATACAAAAATCAATAGTTATAAGGCATCCAAAACCCTTCCTGAACAGAACTCACATGCCATTCTTAAGGGACCAAAACCATCATGGATCAAATATGGTCTTGGTTATGATGAAATGAACAAGGAAATCATCGGTCTCAATAATCAACCAGAGTTGTTAGTATGCGATCCAAGTCTCTTCATTGGAGACAATGAGGATCATGAAGAGGCGGTAACTTGCAGTCCTGATGTGTTGCCACTTCATTCTCAAGCATCCCATTGGAAGTCACATCATCCCATGATCTTTCGGACTTGGACATTATGTCTGACTCTCTAGTAGAATTTTCTCTTGAATGTCCCACCATGGAAAGATTCAATTCAGAAGATGTCGCTTCTGAAAAATCAAATATCCCTGACTCAAAATCTAGTGATAAACAACCCAAATCATATGAGCCAATAGGATATTCCAAGACTGAACCCATTGA